CTTTACAAGGACAATCCCAGTTGGGAGGGCAGAGGAATTTAAAGAGATTTTTTGTCCTCCAAACCACTGGGGAAGCATACCTTACGGCCCAGAGTTCTGGGGACCCATCCCCTAGTTGGGGCCTGCTGCACTCGACCCAGGTACACATAAACTTGGCTCCTTCTACATCACGGCTACCTCTGAGAAGTGTTTACTTATGGAAGCTGATTTAGAAGCGCTATAGGAGCGGATGCTGACTACGACATCCGCCATTGCATGTTTGAAACTCCAAAGCCTATGATGAATGAGTCCCACCGACGGCTTCTATAGTCTTCAATGGTGAGGTGACCTTTGTTACATTACGTGCACAGTGATCCAGAGACATATTGATTGAAAAGCAATAAAATCTCATGGAATGATACGCGGCATGCAGAATCATGAACAAACCTTCTCTTCTAGACGCGGGCCGAGCGCCCTGCATGGACCACACCAATCTGCGTGGAAATCGACTATAACGGGATGTGGTGAATTGACGACCTGGAACAACTCGGAATACAAAGTTTTTGAAGTCGTCATGATTAATGACAACTATACCACTAGTGCTCATTCACATAATGTCTCAAAGAATTGAGAAGTTTTCATGGAGCAAAACTAATGCACGGAGAGCCTCAATTTTGCGGAGCACTGTAAGCGCTGAGCTAGTAGGGCGAGAGGAAACCCGGGGACAATAAGCAGTCTTACACATCGGAAGTCCCTACCATCCATAAGGCATAGTAGAAACTGAGCGTTTGGTAGATCGGCCACCGGCAAAACCGAGATGAATAATATGGGAAGAGGAAGACGGAGGAATATGTTAGATTTGTACCTTCCTCGCCTTTCCTGTTTCACATTTAAACAAATCGCCGCCTCTGCGCAAGTTGTCGGTTGATGTGGAAAAAAACTTGTGGTAGATTTATTGAGAAGGTCAACCCTAGATAGAAGGGAAGGTTTCTTGTCTTGAAGTAGCAGACTCCGCCCATCTCGCAAGAACCACCCCCGGCAAGACACAAAGCCACAAACTAGACATTCTTCTCGGCAATTCGTAGGTTCCATTCTTTGAACTAGCATTCCCACGTGGGCTTCGCACTAAGAGCATTTTAACGCACACGATTTCGACTTGGCGAGGTCACCGCCACATGTGTCACGCGAGGCAATCCGATGTCGAATACACCGTATAGTTATTGTAATAGTAACAGAGAAAAGTATGTGGATTAGAATATGTGCATAGATAGATTCATTTGCAATGCGGGAGAGGGTCAAGAGACTCGTTCCTTCATAGTATGTATGTTAGTCTCCCGAATGGATAAAAAACGTAAATCCAACGTAATTAGTAGAAAAAATTACAGCAAAGACTCTATCATTAACACTTTCCATAAGTAAAACATTATTTTCATAAAGATGCCTTCTCTGTGAAGTCCTCGACAGTTTCGACGTGAAAGACGACGTTTGTTGAACAGAAGCGTTGAGGCTGTACCATTCGCTTGACCAATAATGATCGTTGTGCCATTGAAGGACGAAACGCGAACCGAGCTAATGCACCTCCCAAACTCTGCATGGCTACCTGAACATGACTTCATCTTCCACTGTTAACATCCGAACTGATTGTTTCTACTAAAGGAAATGTCAAAAAACTAAAGAAATGTAACGTGACAAGGAGAAACTAATGGTCTTCACCAAGGAATCAAAAAGATTCGCTCTCTCGCAAGGATTCGCTGTGGAGCGCACCATTAAATCTTGCCCGTTGCGGTGTTGTTGATGAATAACGGCGCTTTTATTTTGTTTAATCTGCTGGTTCGTTTATTTGTTCTCGGTTTTTTGTCGTTGGGAAGTTATTTTTCTGCAGATATTTCATACAAAAGTTGTCAAGTTTCAGTTGTGGTCAAAATGTATGAAGCTTACACTCCCAATGAAGTTGCCGTAAAATTGCCACTAGAAATCACTTCGCTCACATGTCAAAGTACGTTTCCAATTTTGACATCTTTCTTTTTCTTAGTATGAAAACTTTTCAGTGCTATCCTAGTAATTGGGGGGTGGGGTGGAGGGACCGGTCTCCGCACATCTGTCAACCGTGAGATGTCGGTCAGACTCGGCGACGGGAGATTTACCCCGCCGACGACCGATACACACGGCGCCGCTCGGGTAAATCTCCCGTCGCTCGCACTTTGGAGCGATGCCAATCGCCCGTCGCTTGTGCACATTGCAAGAGCGACTGCATCGCGGTGGACAAGCGATGGAGCGATCGCGTCGCTCCGGCACTGGTCCATCGCGATGCAATCGCCGAGTCTGACCGACATCTAAGGCTAGGCAATTCAGCGTTTTGTTGTGCTGTCTGGGAGCTCTCACACAAGCGCACTATTACAGAATCTCCGCTTTCTTTACCTCCTTTAAAAGGCTTAGTCCCACTACCACAAAGAACGTCTGCTCAGGATTCCGTTCTCTAATCGTCTGTGCTCTAGCCATCGCGGCAGGACCATTGAGGAAAAATCAAGTAGTCCGTAAACCGTCCAACTATCATTGGTGCTAACTTAGTTGGGGGGGGGGGGACTACGCGGCGGCATGGCGTTTTGTTCGCCTTTCTCTTCAAGTCGCTTAGTCCACGGTGCTATTGCATCACGAACGCCCCATCGCGTGCCCCCCCCCGAACCCGAGTTACGCCCCGCGCGATGTATTAGCGGCCTCTGTCGCTAAGCCTTAGAATTATACGAGTAGAGCTTCGCGCCGCCTTCTAGTCCCCCAGCTGGTTTTACACATAATCATTTTCTGGAGTGCGCCACACATTCTACTTCCGCTCATACTCGTAATGGTCTTTATGTGTTTGGTTTGTAAATTGATCTGCGCTGGCAGTCATTGGGAGGTTAGTGTTTTATCCACACCAACGATCTTCATTAGTCAATTGGGCGGCATTCGATCCGAGATCAGGATTGAACCAATGTGGAAGGATACTTCGGCAAATACTACGATGGTAACGTGGTTTGGGGGCCGCCGCGGCGCGCGGCATTTTCCTGCCCTTTCAGTAGGATAGTGTAAATTCTCATACTCCCACTTTTCATGCATGTCGAGTGACTCGCACCGCTCGCCATCCCCTTGAGCTGCGTACATTCCCCCGGCTGATGATTCCTCGTTTGGCAGTAATAGGCGTAAACATGTCGTGGACACGACGGCTACTGCCAGTACCCCAAATACGTTAGCACTAGTTTCCTCTTCCCGTTCCCTACGGTAAGTACTATTTTCTCTCTCTATTCTTTACTTCTGTGCGTATCATGATAGATATCCAGAACCATGTTCATTGTTTCATCGAAATGTGCGCTTCCATCTGTTTTTGAAAATGGTAGTACCATTTTATTGAACATGAGATCCATACAGTCTATGAGTTGAAAGGGACAGTAGATGTTAAGTCAATCGGTTTAACCTCCACCTTTATCTTTGGTATCCTATGCAGCATTGTTTAATCTCATAGCATTGCTCTGCGGTCCACTATCGCCTCTTCCATGAGTTGGATTTACTTGAAATGCTGGAGAAAAGAATTAAATTCGGCAAGTTTTTATCATTTTTAATGTGAGTTCCTATAGTCTTGCTATTTTAAGAGTCATGTGGCAGTGTGTATGCAGGCAGCAAAGTTGGACAACTGTTCGTTTATACTCCCAAACGAACTAGTAAGTCATCAGCGTTTGAATATTCACGCATTGTTTGCAACATGACGCAATAGCACATTAATTCATAGTTCAACAAGCATTTCTTTGATTACCCTAGATCGCCGTGGATTTGATCTCGACACTTTATGCAAGCAATTTGAAAGAAAGGCGGTGTTGGATCTTTCGATCTGCGAAGAGCAGGATCTGGTTTTCTGTGTTTCTGACGGTCAAATGGCCGCACATTACCTAAGTTCGTTTTCGATCAACCATTGCTTCATCCAATTTTCAATAAAATTTACCGTTGACCGTTTTCAGAGGATCGTCATTTTCCCGTCGTTTCTATACTTCATAAGATCAGGCCTGTTAATGGATTTGCAACGTGGATACCAGAGGTAACTCAAAGCTTTTCTTAGGTGGCGTTCATACTCATATTTTTGCACCGGATCGGGTCAAACAATCTATTCCGTGGTTAGAATGGAGTAGCCCATGAGTATCACAGCTGTGCCGTTGTCGCGGCTTGAAAGTGCGCGACCTTGACGCTAGGGCTTTACAAAGTGGGAATACGGCTAATGGACGAGATACCGCGCGCATACTCTACAACATACATTCTACGACATACAACGTTATGACACAGCAGCTAATTTGAATAAGCGCGGGAGTGGAGCTATGGAACAAGCAGGTGCAGACAACTCGTCCGACACGCCTTTTCACCTCCTCGTTTCACGGTGGAACGGAGAGAGCCCTTGTTTAAGGCCGTCATCGGCGGTTCGCCATCTTTTTTTTTCATTTTCAGATTTTCTTCCGAAACCATACATGTCTTTTTCCATTATTTCCGGATCTCCTTAATCCCAAGTGATGGGTATTTTTTGAGGTTTCTCGGATAGCCCTTGGCTCCCTTTACAGGATATAGAGGAGTTCCTGTGATTCCAAGAGCTGCAACTAGTAGCGTTGCAATCAGCTTGAAGCAGAAGTATCCATTACTTTCTGAACAAATTGAAAGGAAAGAAGAGAGTTTAATTCTGATCAGAAGCGTATTCAATCCCCTGTATTAACCTCAACAACAAGCATATTATCCCTGCTTCCGAAATGCCCTATCTTCGTTAACCAAACTATGTGTTAAAAGTGCTAAATAGTGTATGGAATGGTACATGCAGTCGTTTACTGCTGGGTAATTGAAATGGTTTTTTTTTCCAATGAGGAACCTTTGTTTAGGATAGCGACACTGTACATATATTTGTTTCCTCAAAGAAAAGGATATTCTTGTTTAAATGGTTCGAGAAGGATTTCCAAGATGTTCGCTTCGATTACAACCAATCTTTTCCAGACAAACCAAATACTATGAGGTGAGTTCAAAGTAGATGAAACCTGAGTCCCTTTTGTTATACAGCAGCATTGATTGCAGAGTAGTTGGTAATACTCTTTTGCTGAGTTGCGGTCGCGACTACATACTTGTCAAACTCACAAAGTCGACCAATGAAGACGGAGAGGTAATTGCTTCTGGTTTATCCTTTTTTTTTTGAAATTAAGAGATTTTTTCTTTGTGTCGGTGGATGATATTGTTTCTTTAGTCTTGGACGGGTGATTGTCGTCGACTCTTCGATGTCAGTGACAATCCATCGATAATTGTGATGAGGGATCGTGATCTTCTGGGATTTTTACATGGCGACACACTCATTCTAACGAATTTCGAAGGACAAAAGACTCCGTTAGCCGATGTGCGCTTTAGCGAGGTGCCCTGCGATATCGGTATGTTCCAAAGGGTCCGTCGTACCATCCTTCGGTGGATAAGTTCTGTAACTTCTCGCTACGTAGAGCAGAGTAAAAGTTAAATGTTGCAGTGTACGATGCGCCATATGTTGTTGGATTGTTGCCAAAAGGACGAGTCGAGGTGCGGTCATTGAATCCGCCTCACCTTATACAGAGTATGGCACTAAGTAAGGCCTCTCTTCTCTGTGCCGGAAATCCGTAGGTTTCTGTCTATTGTTTGCGATATCAATTCCTTTCATGCGGCTATAATCTGTTTTGGCACAATGTGGCTCGAGGGGGGCCAGTCGCCGCGCGCGATCTCTGCGTTTTTCTGTGTAAGCATTTCCTCTTCGCTAAATCGGGACTAAGCCTCGGGCAGGGGAGGAGGAACTCCAGGATCATAGCAATTTTCATCTTCCCAAAGTTCCTGCCCACTCCTAGGCTTAGTACTACAGGGCGCGGACGAGCAGAGATCGCGCGCGGCGACTGGCCCCCTCGAGCCACATTGCGCCTGTGTTTTTGATCGCAGATGTATACTGTGTTATGCGCCCAGTCATGCTCCTCCATTCGTTCAAAATCATTTTGGCTCGTTTTCGTATTAAGAGAAATTCCGTGATCTTATTTTTGTTAGAGCCCTATCAAACAACTTTCAGTGGCTACGTGTTCGTCAGCAGCCCGTTTGATGTCTGGATGCTTGATGCGCATGCGAATATCCGCAAGAATGTGTCGACGCTCATCTCCGACAAACAGTTTGAATTGGCTATCCAAGTGGTGGTATGTTTGAAAGGTTCTCTAAGCAGTCCCACCCGTATGAAATCCTAGAGTTTTTTTTATAGGAAATGTCGAACTTTTTCACGGAAGATAATAAAATTGAAATAAAACGTCAAGCAGCCCTGAATTTATTCCAAAGGAAGAGGTTCGAGGAGTCCTTCCAATTACATGCAGAGATCAAGACAGGTATGTTTCCATCCTTCGATTTCTCTCACCAAGATACGTCTGCTATAAGGCAGACTTTTCCTGTTCAGCTTTTACCTTCTTTCCTTGCGATTTACACCCTTTCTGAACGTCCTCGTGGTTGGCATTGTGATCAAGCTTCATAGCGCTTAAATGCATCAGTTAGGCTCGCGTTTGAGGCCCTCAAACGCGAGCCTAACTGATGCGTGTGCCACATGTCTTGTTGCACTCATGTTACCGGTTTGGAAAAAAAAACCCAAGATGCGGGTTATTCCAAAGTCGAAAATTTTAATGGTCCTGATTCCGATGTTTATTGCTTCCCTTTAACACCATTCGAGCGTACCACTGGCTCCTCAATTTGTTCTTTCTGATGGGTTAATTACACTTTAATATTTTTCGGTCGCTCTCTTACGGGATTCTGTTCCTCATTTGATATTTTGCTTTGCAATCGCCTTAGAGGTGTGCACGTCCTGTCTCTTATAAGCTCATTATCTCAGAGTAGCTGCTCGCTTACTGTACCACTCTAGGAAGTCGGGCTGCTCCTCTTTCCAAGTGTGGCTTTCTCCAGAAGCGCTTATTTTTTGGATAATCGACACATAATTGACCCGGAGTTCCGGATGTTACCGGAGAAGTCCATACCGGAGCTTTCAACTGTCTTCAACACTTCACCAATTTATCAGTTTCTTTATTAGGAGGGTCTTCCAATATCCATTGTATTTGGGGTGGTGAAGGTGAACTTCAGTTTGAGATCGCGCGATCCCCTACCGATTGGCTGTGAAGCCTGAACCTCTCTAGAATATTTATCTCTGGTCTCACATGGTTGTAATTCGATGTTATTGCAGACGTTATCACGATAATCCAGATGTTCCCGGAGTTTTTGCCAGAGAAATTACGAAGTAATGCAGCTGCATTTGATCTCCCAGCAAATGACAAGAAACGAGCGCTGCTTGCATTGGGGAATTACCTGTCAGCGGTTCGTTTTCATATCATTTATTTTCGTCTTTGCATGACAAGTGTTTGTTTCCTTACCCGAGAGCTGTATTTCTTACATGTTGTGTTGTATTGGTAACGATTAGTGGTGCTTAAGAACGTCACCCAAAGGTCTATGTGGCTAGCTCTTCGGGAACTTCGCAACCTCCTTAGGCATGAAGGCAGCATGTATGACGAAATAAGTAATACCTTAGGACGAATAGTGTTGTGTAATTGTCTTTTGAGTATGTAACTTTGGCATTTTGTTGTGGAAACAATGCGGTGGCATCTTCTGTAATGGTTTTGGTATATAATTCTTTCCTTTAGGTCCGCTCCGATCTGTCAAAACAATTGGATCAGTACAGTAAGGATTCGCCACCATAGCCATTCCAGCGTCAATCCGGATCATCTTAAAAGCCTCCACATATCTCTTCAAGTGGTCGATACCGCTCTCTTGAAGTGCTATCTGCCAGTGATAGGTAGTCTGTTATTGGATCATTCATCCTCAGTTCCGCAAGGAATCCAGAAAATCGCAATCAATGCTGTCTTTTTTTTAGACACGGCGTACTTGTTGATTCCCTGCTCCGCCTGCACAACACTCTTGTTTCCTCGAAAGCATTGGGGCGATAGAGTTATCTAGGTAACGCATTTTTCACTGTTCCCAAATCATTAAAATCGACAAAAATCACTGTGGAACATAACGCTTCACGGTTGCTATTAGGTCTATTTCCTATTTATTTGAATGCTGACGTCTGCGGACATGAGAGGTGCTATGAAAATAGACTAAGACCACTCGTTTACTAGTAAATACAAGGTAAGAGTTTATCTAACTTTCCAGATTTGTTTTTTTTTAATGTTCCTGCAGTCGCAACTCGAAATGCTCTTGCGATTTCATTTACCTTTCTTTATTGCATGACGCCCTTGAGCCTCTTCCACAAGGCATTCCTGAGCCAGATGCAGAATCCATTTTTTACCCTTGGATCGGACTGTAGGATATTTGCAGACTCTGGGAAATACTCACTTGGAACTCATATTCAAATACGCACGATGGGTGCTGGATAAAGATATTGCAAGCGGAACCCCAATCTTTTTCGAGTTTATAAGGTACAATCACGATGACACAGTTCGAGATGTAGCTCAATCAGGGACCTATTTATACTGGTTCGTAATTTGAGCGGCGTTCACTCAGCAGGCACCTATGATGTACAACACATACATTGGTCTTAATCTGGTACGCGGAGTATTTGAAGTTTCTGGCATGCATGTGTTTAGTAGGATATTAGACAGCAAGACGACGAGGGATGTCAGAGAGTGCAAAAGAAAAATCGTCCGATCGAGAGCACGAAGAGAAGACCAAGCACGATATCTGTCTCGGCCTCGAGCGATCTGTTCTTTCTGAATAATTTTGCCGCCAAGCCCTAGCCGCTGCAAAAATACAGAAGCCTCGTACATTCAACACTGCGAGTATAAAATGGATGAGACTTGAGAAAAAATCTTAAACGTTTATCGGACTCTCAGATAAGATCTGCTACACTGAGCTTAGAATTAAAATTGACGAGCTCTGCTAGTACGACAAAACATAATCCTACTTTTTCTCTACTGCTTGTAGAACGTGCACATAGTAGATCTGCGACGCAACGCACTGTGACCATCAGTGTGATCATTCAGATGATTACGTGTGGGTGAACTTGAGGCATGTCACACGAGAATATGGATTAATTCTTGAGGACACACCACATGGTGTTGAAAATACTGTTATCTGCACTCACCATTCATCCACCCTCAGATTTTCTTACGATATTTGAATCTATCGAAAGAGTATTGACTAAGTCCGCGTGTGATTAAATTTAATGAGTGGCATCCTTAGCTAGTTTATTTCCTGCTAGACGTGAGAGGGTAGTTCTTGCCATATGTTGCGTCCTTGATGGAAAAAGTCCACAGGTCACCAACATACCATCCAACTGGGACAGATATCTTTCTATTCTAACTAGGCGGCATGCCGATGTGAGGGTTCGTTTGATGTTCGTGCGTGGGCGCAGCAGGTTGTGGATCCTGCGAGTGGGTGACGCTCCTATAACTCACAGACCGCGTGAGAAAAATTTCGAGAAGCATCAAGAAAACCACAAAACACGAGTAGGAGAGAGCACATTTATTAACCACATTCTTTCACGTTGGTTTTGACTACCGTTTGTTTTGCTCAAGATGGGCAGCGAACACCAAGACGGCTGACGGACGACTTCGACTTAGAGAAGGTCTGTTTGTGATCCCACCGCATCAACATCAATGAACCAGACAGTCTAACTTCTTTGAACTCTGGAACGCCCGATACCGAACCTCTGCGGCGTAACTCCACCGTACAAGTTCGCCCAATCATCCTATATTATTCAATCAGCGGAGACCATCTAGTGCGCCTTAGATATGTGCATGCATGTGGACATTTTATGCATTCTTCAGGCTAATATATAAAAGCTCAAGCAGAGCGCCTTAATCGAGCGTTGTGGCACAGGCGCGCTATATCCCTAAATCTGTCGGCGTCTTAATTCGGTGCCCCCTCGCGAGCAATAGACCTCTGAGCTCCGTGAAGGAGAGTCGCCTATCATACTATTCTCTCGCGAGTGTGCTGCATCACATTTCATTTGACGGGCATAGTAATTCGCTCATATCGGCTCTATTCAAGCGACAAACAACTTCTGATCTTGTTTATAACAATCAGCGACAGTCACTTTTCAAGAAAAATTTATCATACGCACACATCCTTGTTATTCGCGTCATCCCAGTCGCAGGTTCGTAATTTTTGTGAGCATCCAGCTCGACGAGTTGCATTGCAATATGTTATTTGAAAAAGTATGATATGCGTATTCTCTTACATATAGAATCACCCTTCATTCATTATACTTCTATTATTGACTCAGACATTGACTTAAAAAATTTATGACAAGTGACTTAGAACACGCAAAACACAACATCACCGTCTTTATACTTGCGCTTATGCAACACTAAACATAATTCACACTCAATCAACAGCTGGCTTATTTCCCCCAACGACGCTCCACATTGCAAATACGCACTTTAACTGCGCCGCAACCGAGGAAGCTACTCACACTTACAATGCCATTTCATCGTCCAAATTGAGAGGCGGGGCACAGGCCGAGGCGGAGCACAGACTTATCGGCAAAACCGGCGCCCCATATGTGAGTTCCCTCACTGGAATCATGCGCTAAAAGTTTATGGACAAGTGTTCTACCTTCGTAGAAGTCTGCCCTTTGTTCGACCTCTTCTGCTGAAACGCAATGATCTCTGACTGCGTTCCTTCGCTTTGCGGACCCCTACTGATGCATTTTGTCTAGCAACGTATTTTCCAGAATTCAGTAGAAAATTTTTCGTTGGTACTGTGATGCATTTTGCTTCCCTTTGCAGGAAGCATATCTATTAGCCACTCGCCATTTACATTTAATTGCGATCCGAAGAAGCGTGAGACTTTCTCCCGCTCATATAAGTACTGTTCACGACACCATTCGCTGAAAGCCTACCGTGTTATGGCGCGCGATAGCGCGAGCGGAGCAAAGACTGGTGTAAGATAAATCAGGCAGCAGTAACAGTTCGGATGCGATTTAGCTCCAGGCAACCGCCCTCGTCGAACACCTAGTATACAAATACTGAAACTAGTGGGCAACAGGATTACGAGCACGCTTTCCCAGATGGTTCGTGTTAATTTTTTGTAATTCATTGCTTCAATTTGAAGAACAACTTCTCGTAAGGATACCTATGAATACGCATTTTATCTTTCACGTTGTAGATGAAAACATCGCTCGTGCTGGAGACGAAGGCGGAGAGCTGGGTGAAATGCGGCGTCGCTTGATAAAGTTTCTGCGGTTCTCATTATACTTCAGCCCTCAAGCAGTTCTTCTGCAACTCAGCAATTCAGGTAAAGATCAGTTGCTACTTGCTATACTAGCTGAGTATCCTCTCTAGGGTAGAAAATTGCACTGCGCCATTCATATATAGGCGGTCATTGTACAGTATGTAGTCGAATTGAAAAAAGGTGATTTCTTTCCTGAAATTATGATGAAAGGCAAAGAGTATAAAGTTAGATGTCAACCTGAGTCAGAAGAGGCTTAGAAAACCAAAAATATTTTCTCATGCTCATTGATCTTATTTTTTGCATAGATGAAGACGTTTTAGCGTTCTACGAAGAAAGAGCGCTGGTTCTGGGTCGACTCAAACATCATGAACAAGTGAGTGTCCTCCGGTTTGTTCCAGTGTCCGGCCAGTTTATAATCCGCATTTTTAGGCCTTAGCCATCTACACATCGATTTTGAATGATTTCGACGCTGCGGAAGAGTACTGCAAGTTGTACTATGACGAAAGTGATGAGATTAACTCACAGGTGCGCTAGTACCTGCTTTAGATTTTGAGAGCGGAGCAGTGTGTTGCTCAGTCAATATCGTGGACATCCAAATTCTCCTTGCTATGCAACTTTTCAGGTATATTTGCAACTTTTCCGAGCGTTCGTCAGCCCTTCCGATCCGATGATAGCTGGGGTTCTAGAGAAAGAGCTGCCAACTCCTGAACCCGATATCCTTGATGCTATTCGGGTGTTGAGTAGACATGCAAGTAAAATTGACACAGGTGATCAATGTGTTTTGCTGGCTGTGTCACCAAAACTTAGATACTAATGTTGATTCCGTTTGAATTCAGTGTATGCTCTTCAACTCATTCCACCTGGTACGCCCCTATCCACACTGTGGAAGGCTCTTCATGCCGTTTTGCAGACTACTCACAATGATGCTTGCGCTGTCAGTTGTTTTCGCTTTTCCTTTTTTGTTTTATGTATTTTCATTATTATTACTTACTGATATTATATTTATTGTTTTTATATTCATACAAAAATATTTTGCCATCCACAAGAGAGCTAACGAGCGCAAAGGTAAATGGCTGTCGATGTTCCCAATTACTAATTCTTTTGAAATCTTACCATTAGTACAGTTCACTTCGCTATCAAAAAAATTTTAGGTCCGAAACGGGTCATGTATTGGTGAAAATTCAGTTCGGGGGGGGGGGCCACTCCATTTTTTCTCCAATACTCAAGATAAGGATTAGAGCGCTCACGACACGTAATCGACTCATTTAAAGTAGACTTCTGATAAGTATCGGTGTAATGTGGAAGAAACCCTGAGATGTTTTCACATTTCCGCCTGCCATGACCCAAGGGAACGGTCCTGGACCAGGAGAAAGGACACCTCCGCAAAGGGCTAAGGGTGCAGGAGCTCCAGGGTGGATCACCTGTGCAGAAAAGTGGATGGGATGTGGGCAGGTAGTGTGGAATGTAGGAGCACACCGGTCCTTATCAAAGGTATGCCTGAAATATTCCTCTAATTTGTTATACTATAGAATCTCATGAGTTTTGGGAATAAGGCACAAAGGATGGTGCTCTTATAGTATATGATAAATTACAGGAGAAAACAACTGGATTTTACCTCATGTATTCAAAATAGTACCAGGAGAAAGCATGATTTATTGGACTGATTTTAAAACCAGAAGTAAATTATTCACATCAGCAAGTGCCGGAGGCCACCACAGACACGGTGCAATTGTCGCAGAAACTGTTCCAATTTTTCAGAAACTTTTGTTTGATCTATCGTTATTGACAGGGCGGAAGTGGTGTAGTGACAAGTGGCGCGCTCACCACGCGAGCGGTCCGGGATCAAATCCTGGGTCGTGAGTCGCCCGGGCCAACCAAGCCTTCCATCCCTCCGGGGTCGGTTAATTGGTACCAGACTTGTCTGGGAGGATAAAAACACTGACTTGTACATCGGCTGGCCCCCGCAAGTCATTGTATAGGCCACATCGCATTCAAACGCCACTACGAATGTACAAATGGAAGTAGAATGCGTGCCGCATCCCAAAAAGGGATTGATCAACGGCAAATGCTTTATCCTTTATCCTTTATCTTATTGGACGAGGTAGGTAGAGGGTCTATTCAGGATCAAGTACTTCAAATAATTTTCGCCGGCGTGTGCGTCCTGGAGATGTCAAATTTGTTAGAGCCACAGCGAGAAATTTCGGGAGTGGTAGGTCGACGGCCATGGAAGCGTTTTCGGGGGAGCGGGAGAGAAGAGGGTGGGGGCGAGTTGAGGAAGCAAGAAAAATAGCAGCGGAAGTTATTACGAGCAAAAAGAGCAAATGCCGCTTTTCAAGTTAAGGCAACACCCCAAGATCGAATTTGTGAGGTCTCAGCGATGATAATGTTGTGGATGCCAAATTGACTGAAAATGAAAAATGAAGCAAATGACCTGTACTTATTTGAATCAGCCGCAGCGCCGTAATCCACGTTGCGTGTCATGGGGTGTGCGCGACGTAACTCGATAAATGCTAAGATAAGCAGCAAATCTGACTTTGTTAGTTTAAGAGACAGTCGCGTACGTCGAGCGGCGGAAACGGACTGTACTAAGTAACTCGTAGGCTACTAGCCTACTGAATATCACTTATCAAACTACTGAATGAATTTTGTAGGCCAAGACTCAGTTGAAGAGAAGAGGATACAGGAGATATAGACATGTATTCCTCATCACGTGCTTCTCTCTGGCTCGTGCATTACAGGGCAAAACGAAGACAGGGCAGTCTCTCACAGTTTTCTATTTCTGTGATCATCCGGGAATCATCGTGGTCCGGGGAACGAATGAGGGTCAACCCTACCGTTTGGACTTGTTAAAAATTTCACGACCCCCCCCTCCTTCATAAGAGATTTCATACATACCCATCTTCATTTCTTCTTTTTCCCTCGAAAACACCATCGAGCGGGGAGGGGAGGGGGAATACAGGGTGGTCCAAAATTATGAGGACCAAGACATTGTGTCGTTAAAAACGCATAGTAGCTTGATGGAACAAACCAACTTCTGGGAAGTATTTGTAACTCTTACCTCAAAGTAATTCCAGAATAGAATTGAGATCTGCCACTTCCCCCGTTAACACGAGCCTTCGGATGAGGGGGATGGCGCGTGCGGTGGCACGCAACTAAGGCGTGTCCAAATGTTTCCAGGCCTTCTGCTCTGCCTTCTTCAGGGAATCAAACTTTTGTGTTGCATTTATTTGCGCTTGCATCCAGGGTGTGAAATACAGAAATCTAGAGCTATTAGGTGGATGGTTCCATTGTAACAATTCTTCGAAAGCAACGAACTCGAAAAATCGCTTTTTGGAGGATTTTTGCTTTATTCTTGGGTGCTCGGTCCTGTAAGAAGTTCTAAGTAGACTACTCGTGTGGCTTTCTATCCACTACAGATGTGGAGTCTTTAGAGTGTCTGGCTGGGTTTTCATCAATTTTTTCATTTTGGGTGTACGAAAGTCGACAAGGGGAGACCTAGTTTCTGCATCTGATAATTATCCTGGTGGTAACTGTAACTTTCGAGTCCCCGAATTTTCCATCTGTGGTGGTTCCAAACTTATTGAAGAGTTGAACTGTTGCTCATAAGGGCTTCTCTGATAGGTTAGACTGCTGCTAGATGTAACGTGCCAGAGCCCCTAGTGAGTTCAATTTGAGGACTGACTCAAAGTGAAGTAGTTATTTCACTAGTTTTGAGAACTTCATGAAATTTGGTTTCATTAGGAAGAAGACATTGTACCCTTTCACATAGTGCACAGAAAACGAGATGAAAATGGAGCGATACGGAAAAAAGTGGATATGACTGCGCGCGCACGCGGTCCTCATAATTTTGGACCACCCTGTATAACTCACCATGAAACGCGAAAATTCCCTATATTTCCTGTGCTTTCCATCAGTTTCCCCCCCCCTTCCCCTTTATTTTCTACTATATTTCCACCACAACACTCTAAGGGGGAGGTGGGACACGGAATTTTTGGTCCGCCCGGTCCACCTCATCAACATTTGCAACTTCATGCTTCCGGAACAAGTACGCCCCACAAAACACACTCAACTACGAAGGGGGGGCCCCCCTCCCAAAGGAGGGTTGGACCTGAAGTCGTCGTTTTTCACGGTCAACCAGCTTCTCGATCTCTGCGGGAACGGGGCGGCAAAGGTGGCTCTGTTGGAGGGTTAGAATAAGTTAGGCACAGCGGAAAGAGAGGGCGGGCTCGGGGCAGGGGACGCAGGGGCCAAAAGGCAGAACGGCCCGGGCGCAAGAGAAGCAGTGGGGCCGAGCGCCAGGGGGACGGGGCGGGCACGAGGAACAAGCAGCGGCTGCCGAAGGGAAACCAAAGGGCAGGGGAAGGGCGCAAAACGACAAAACGGACCCGGATCAGGGAACAGTAATCAGCACCTGATAGTAATAGCGAGACGATGAAACCCGTGACTTCTCGGACAACTCCGGGGACAGCGAGCGCCTTGGCAGCGGCCACAGCCAAGGCACGCGAGTTAGGGTACGGATAGGGCCATGCGCATTTAAAAGACCACTCACGAAGGTCGATATTAATACGAGAAGGACTGCGCAAGAGAAGGGGTAGAATTTGGGGGGAGGAACCACACGAGCATACGGGACAAATAAGGCGACTTGGATAGCGAACGCGAAAGGACAGGACCACGAATGCTTTATGCCTCTCCTATTAATTCTGTATGGTCACAGTTAGGACGCTTGGAAAAGTAGAAACGGCGTCAGGTGTAGGCCCGATTTTCGCTTGGCTTTCGCAGGTCTGTATGCACATTGCGGGGAAGTGCGGGGTTCATCGAGCCTCCTCATGTACAGCAAAAGTGAACTAAAAGGGTACGACAAACGAGCAAATGTTTGCCCAGCTGATAAACCGCCACAGGCGAGGATGAGGGGTCGAGAGCATGTTATAAGCCAGCGAAGCGTAATAGCAGGTGGAGAGGAGAGGGGAAACGCGGACAGATGTTCAGGCGAAATAGTAGGGCAAGGAGCGGCCAAGAAAGTATGGCAGGAAAGAAAAGCCACCACAGAACGAGAGGGCGATGGCGGCGTAAAGCGGGAACGGCAGAGAACAGACATGCACGAAGACCGCGGGATGTGGTACTAAATGGGCACGCACCCGGGCAAGCGCTAGAAGAAGGCAACATACATATGGGGGAGCGGGTGGAACTGGCTAAATCCTAGGATGTTAGTGCTTATCGTTCGATATCCCACTGACGGGATCTCTTGCCGCACTTTGGGCAACAGGGGACACGATGGAGTCACGGAATCGGAGGCTTCCACCTCCACGACCCCAGACAGGCGAAAGGGCCGTGCCGTGAGATCAAGAGGGCGAAGCGATGGCTGAGGGATCTGTTCAAAATGAGGACAAGTGGTGCAGTGACGAGAAATATTCGAGACTAGATGTATAGGCCGGAGCATGGAAGGAAGTTCATCAAACGTGTCCGAAGAGTGTGTAAGTGGTAGGCTAATGCGAACGCGACTAGGAGGGCAGGGAGATAAGCTACGATAGGACGTGCCTTGCGCGAGAAAAGTTTGGAGGTAGGCTTGGCGGACGGCCAAAGCACGCAGGCTGATGTACCATCTTTCTCCCTGCACTCGAGCGCGACCTCGGGGTCGAAGGAAAAAAAGAAAGGAAGAAGGGAGGTGGAGACCGAAACGGAGCTGCAAATGTGGACAGGAGGGGATAGGGTGGCGGTATGGACAATCGCCGGCCAAGGAGAAAAGGGGGAACAAGGGCCAAACGGAGGGACCCGCAGCGGCCGGACCACAGGAGCGGGGAGGAGCACAGAAAGAGAAAACGGGAAAGGCCCGGGCGGCGGGGCCGGGAAGGCACGAGCAAGAGGAAGCACTTGGGGTGCGAAAATGAGGAAGGAGCAGGGCAGATATATAAACGCGCGCTAGCCGTCGTTGGATGCCACTGGAAAGTGTGCGGTGCTACAAGAAGGTAAAACAGGCTAAGATATTGGTATAGAAGG